GAGGGCGTGAAGGCAGGGCTAGGAATGGGGAAAAAATAAGAACCAAGATGCATTATGTAAAGGTACAATTCCCAGTGAGAAATGTAATTGTGTTGTATACTTACAATGTACCAATAAAAGAATTTAATACAAAAAAAAGAATTAAAATCAGTTCTCATTGTAGCATTATCATAATTGTCGAAAGGTTAGAGCAACTCATTGATAGAGTTCTCTGCTAGAAAAAATGGCCCCCACAACCCTGCATCCTAAGATGGCCCCTGCCTACAGTAAAAGAGTCACTCCAGAGAGAACAAAGACCTGCTCTTTCCCGCCTCGTCCCCAGTCACAGCCAATCATCTGCCTCCACCACACTCCCCCAGCCCTTATAAACCTCACCCAGCCAGCCCCTGGTTGCTGTTCTCCCCATTGTTCCAGACAGCCCGGCAACTCTGTCCCTTAATAAAAGTTCTGCTTTGGGTGTTCATGTTTTGGCTCATTTTATTTCTCTCATTCATTGGTTCAGCAACAGATGGATGGGTGAACAAAATGCCAGGTCAGTATCCAATGTGTGCTACTCAGCCTTAAAAAGGAAGAAAATTCTGAGACAGGCTACAAAATGAAGGAAACTTAAGGATATTATGTTAAAATGAAATAGTCAGGAAAGGACAAATATTGTGTGACTCCACTTACATGAGGTATGAAGTCAAAAATCATAGAAAGAGAAGATGGAAGGGTGAGTTCCACGAGGTAGGGGAGTGAAAATAGGGAGCTGTTTGGTGGGGACAGAGTTTCAGTCTGGGGAGATGAAACCTGGTGGTGATGGCTGCAGAACACTCTGAATGTACTTAGTGCCACTGAAGTCTGCACTTTAAAAACGTAAATTTTCTGTTAGGTGTATTTTACCACAATAAAGCAAATGATAAATAAACCACTTAAAATACTGGGTGCAATGCTTGGGAAGTAGCAAAACTTTTTTTTTTTTTCAGTACGGGGACTGAAGTCAGGATCTTCACACGAAGCTACATCTCTAGTCCTTTATAATTTTTATTTTGAGGCAGGGTTTCACTAGGTCAATAAGCACTCAGGCTGGGCTAGCAAACTATTGAGATGACAGCTGTTATCCACAATGTTCCTGCCATAATGGTCCTGTTAGGTCAAGACCACATCCCCATTCCTTCAGACTTGAGGCACCAAAGGCTCAGAGAAGCCAGGTGAATTGCCTGATTTCCCATAGGAAGCAAAAGACTGGACATGAGCCAGACTTTTTGGCGCTGAGCCCAGGGCCCCTCCTCCCTGCCACCTGTGCCCACTGAGTCTCCCCTGCCTGGCCTACCTTTGTCTCTGCCCTACCTGTCCTTTCTGAACTGGCCCCTTATCCCAGCTGCTAGGGCCCCACCTCCCTCTTTCCCGGGTCCTCACCTCATAGGGGCTCTTCCTGTATCTGCTGTCTGCCTTCCCTCCAGCCCTGTTCCTGCCGCCCCACCTGTGTCTGATGCCCTGATGTCCTGGCAGCGGCTTTTGCCACAGTCCTCAGGCAGCAGGAGGCACTGATGAGCTGTTTTCTTCTACTTCCCAGAGATTTAAGCCAATCACTTGCCTACCTTAGGTGAGGAGTTTCCTCTCTCTGCTGTGTTTAGCCTCAGTGCACAATGGCTAAGTTTTAATCCACTATGTAAATTGGGCTTCCCCATTATTCCATTGTCTGTGCTATTTTCTTGGAATCTGTTAGCTAAGAGCACAGGCTTTGGTGGGATTAAATCCTAGCTCCTCCACTTCCCAGCCAACCACTGTGCTAGTTCTTTTTCCTGTCTGGGGCTTGGTTTGCTTATCTGTGAATTGGAGAGGGAAAATCTCACCAACTTCAGAGGGTTGTAGGACAACTAAGTGCAGGTGTGTGTGCCATATGTTTGGCAAACATGCCTGGCACCACTAGAAAAGTATTAAACACACAGCAGTAGTGATCATCACCAACTCCCCAGGGGGCTCCCCTATGCCACAGTCCCCAGTCTTAAAACACTCTAATCATTCCAGGCTGCTCCCTCTCTTCTAACCCATAGTTAACCAGCCAGCAGACCGTCAATTCTTTCCCAGGGCAGCCTCTTTTGCCTCTTCTTCTCTGAATCTCCCCACATCTGCTGCTTAGTTCAGGCCTCCACCATCTGCTTCCTTCCTCCTGCAGATCCACACTCCACCCACTCTATCCTGTCCTCTACAATGCACTCAAAGGTCAAGAAACAAAATCTGAACATGTTCCATCTGTAGCTGTAGGCCTTCTGCAGCTTCTCAGTACACACAGAATAAAACACAAGCTCTAGCAATTTGTGCAAAGCCCTTTACAATGTAACCCCAGTGCCTTACCACATAAGGATCTCAATCAACACCCCCCACCCCAGCATACCTAAACCAGCCCCACAGAAACCAGCACTCTCCTGCAGAACAGGACCCTTCCTGACTCTAACTTTGACCTTTGTGTTCTTACCACCTGCAAGGATCTCCTTCAAATTCTCTGGAGAAAAGTAACCTTTGGTATTTCCTGTTTTATAAATTCTTCTCTGCTGTACTCCCTTAGTGTGTACAGCTCTAAATTGCATTTATTTCTATGTAGTCTCTTTGTTGAAGCTGTGAGCTGCTGCAGAGCTGGTACTATGAACATGTTTGACTCTGTACCCTGTGCGCTGCCCCCAAGACACCCCCCTAGAAGATGCCCACTGCTTACATGAAAGTATGAATCAATCTCTTGCACCTACTAGTTGGAACCCTTGGTCTCCACTTTCCTGCCCTGGAGCTTGTAGCTCAGCTGCAAGAGCTTCCTAAGTTGATGCCAACTTCTTCTAGTGTCTAGGAGTTCATTGATAGACCTCTGCTGCAGACATTTGTTACCACAGGAAGTTGGAACAGGTTCTTGGGGATTCAAACCCAAACCCTAGCTAGCAGCATTCCATTTCTATCCATTTCTTGCTCCAACTTGGGTATGGAAGGAGTGAACAAGATGTTACCTGGGGGTCTGGATGTCGGCTGACAATGATGGGGACAGGACCAGGATTACAGTGACTCAGGATCCCATAGACTTCATTGAGTGTCATGCAGTGCACAGGGGAGTCATTGATTTCCACAATCTCATCTCCGCACCTGCAAAAGTATCAACCAGAAGCCATCAGGAAGCTAGTGATCATGACAGCTGGAAGGTCGGTCATCTCTCTGTTTCCCTGGCCAGGGTACTGATGAGGTCTAAAATCCACATCACCAACTAGATCTCTCTAGAGACCTGACCAGAACCCAATCATAACCAGGGCCAACTAAGTAGTTTCTGCCCCCAGTTCTTGCTTTTCATGTGAACAAGAACAGAAAGTCTTTTGTAATTTTCCTCTTCCCCTTCCCATTTAAGTTTGCCCAACCAAGATGGAGGGAATGATTTACCTGATCTAACTGATTAACCAATTAAGCAGCCATGCTGCAGCCCACCATGTCCTCTCATAAGTGGAATGTCAGAAGGAGCAGAGAGGCTGTGCTAAGAAGAAGAAATACCTGGGCTGGAGAGCAGTTGTGGTTCTTGTAAGAAGAAACAGGGAGAGCAGGTGATGGCATTCATTTTAGCTTTCAGGTGGCTCAGGTGTTACTGGCAACATCTATGGTTGGATAAGTGCTAAAGGTCCAATCCCCAACTGCTGCCATGATCTGCTCAATCACTATAGCTCCCCAAAAGCAACAGCTACAAATGGACATGGACCGGAATCTCCAAAACTAGGACCCAAATTAAACCTTTTCTCTTATAAATTAACTAGCTCAAGTATTGGTTACAGTAACAGGAAACTAAGACAGCAGTCTAAACAGAAAAAGGAATGAGACAGAGAAGATAACGTTTGACCATATATGGAGGATCTGTACAGTCCAACACCTTTCCCTTTGAGAGATGGGGCAACTGAGGCATGAGGTGAAATTATTCCTCTGATACAGTCTAGCTTAGAGATTGACATTTTCTGTAAAGAATAAGTATTTTAGGTTTTATAGGACATTGCATCCCTGTTGCAGCTATTCAACTTTACTGTTGTAGAATGAAAGCTGCAGCCATAGACAATTCGTAAACACATGCATGTACTATGTGTCCCTTTGTTCCAATAAAACTTTATTTAAAAAACAACAGGTGTCAGGCTGCAGTTTCCAGATCACTGGCCCTGCTGGTTGTCAGCAGGACAAGAAAGGTACTCGCGTCTTTTGATGCTAACAAAGTTTATATCTTTATTGATATAACTGTCCTCAGTGCCTCCAGAGGCTGCCAAAAATAGGAGCTTCCTGAACAATCCCTACCCAACTGCAGGCCTAGGAGGCATACTTTCATTTGAGGGTCTCAGAGATAAAGCATCAAGCATCACCCTGACCCTGTGATTATATCCCAAGTAAGTACCAGCAGCCCTGTAAGTCAGTTGTCACCTCCCTGCGGGGTGGGAGTGGGGGGCAACAAACCTGTTTAATTCAGAAGTTCTGCCAAGATGCCTGTTAAGCAGGGCTTGCCTTTCTGTATACCACTACAATTATGGAGAAACTCTTAAAAATAGGGCAAAACTCTTCTGATTTAACAAAGCCCAAACCAAGGCAAAGATGTACTTTTACTATATCCAAATGTTGGAGTGAGTACAAAGCACTGTAATGAGTTAAACTGAGCTAAAATATTTTGATCAAAATCAGATCACTTATTGAAAAGAAAATTTAGATTTGTACTTCTCTTAGAAGACATCTGGCATGACTAAAGAATATTTTATATAATGAGGAGGTAGAATAGATCTTTAAACTTTAGGATTTTAAGCTGGGCATGGTGGCACACGCCTGTAATCCTAGAATGTTGGAAGGCCAAGGCAGGAGGATCCAAGTTTAAGCCCAGCTTGGGCAACTTAGTGAAATCCTGTCTCAAAATTAAAAAAAAAAAAAGGAGCTGGGGTCACAACTCAGTGAGAAGGCTCTGGGTTCCATCCCCAATACTGCAAAATATAATTTAATTTAATCTTAGAATTTTTCTCTCAGAGATGATCTGCTTCTCCAGCTTCCTCATCCAGAGAGCATAAGTGTGGTCCCCTCCGTTTCAGATAAATAGACAGATAAAATAACACCTCAGTTAGAGAAATGTTCCCACTGTCTGAAGGGAATCCCCAGGTGCTGGCCCGAGAGGTTGGGGTCCAGTTTCCTGCAAAAGAGAGGGAGGGAGCCAACAGTGGTGGAGGGATGAAACAGTGCAGGAACTTCCTCATCTGTCTTCTTACTGTGTTCCTCCCCCCTCTCCCTTGAGATAAAAGCCCTTGCACATCCAAGCAAGGGGAGCAGAGATTTGAGGCAAAGACCTCCCTCCCTGTGTCCTTTGAGGCTGGCTTTTCCTTTCCACCAAAATTGTCTCCTGCTTGTGCTCTTGGGTGGGGACAGGCCGTAATGGACCACAATCTCCAGCTATATTCATGCTACAGGAAACCACATTTATGCCACTGCTTTGCTTAGAAAGCTATTTTTCCATATAGGGCTCACAGGCAACCCTAAAGCTCCTGCTCTGTTCCTGTGAATTCTGTTAGTTTGTCACGGGATCATCCTACAGGTCTGGTCCCCACCCAGTCTCCCCACAGTCCCACGTGTTTCTCCCTCTGTCATGAGACCAGCAGAAGGGACGACATACCGCAGCCGTCCATCCAGATGCGCCACAGACCCTGGTGAGAGCGTGTGCACGAAGATCCCTGAGATGCACTGGAAGTAGGGGACACTGCACAGGCCGATCCCCAGGCCCACACCGGCCTCTGGAAGCAGAACATGGTGGGGTGACCATTCGCCCCCCGGCTCAGTCAGTCCCTGATGGCACCCACCCCACCTGTGTCTATGGAGCGACCTCCATGTGCAGGCAGTGCTTAGGGTCAGAGGAGAGGTCATTAGTTCAAGGGGAGAATGGCCAAGACGGAAGGAGGGAGGAGAGGACAGCAGGGAAGGAGGCCTCAGAATGAGATGAAAGTTGTCGGGAAATGGCAGAACTGCGGTGCAGGCCTGAGAGGACAGCATTTAGGTTACACTGTGGGTGACAAGGAGTCAGGAGGCAGAGAGTCCAGCAGCAGAAACAGCAGGTGCCGAGGTGAGGATGAGAAGCAGCATGCTGGGCTGCAGGTTCGCAGGGCGACAGGGTCGTCACAGGTCACAGGCATAAATGAAGAATGGGAGGGCTCCTAATCAAGGCAGTGGTGAGCACAGCAGGCACGTGACTGACTGCTGTGTTCAGTGAGGTGTGTCTGGCTCAATGAGGACAAAGGATGGAGCAGTGGGGACCCAGCCCAGGTTAGAGCCCTGACAGAGGGACAGCAGTGGCTCAGACTTCACTGCCAGCAAAGACAGAGAGGGATGTGCATGCAACTGTTTTGCGGATGGACTTGCTGAGGGATGAAATATGGGGATTTAATGACTAAAAACCAAAATAACTTAGACATGATTTTGGCTAGATGTCATTTACCAAAACAGGGAAGGCTTGGGTGGCAGAGTGGGGGACAGGGCCATAAGGACGAGGAAGAGGTGTGCTATTCTGTGTTTGTTGGAGGTTCTGGGGATGGAACAGGCCCTGGTCATGGGAGACAAGCACCCCACCCAAAGCTGCACCTCAGCCCTGGGTTGGGGTTTACCCGAGCTGCCTTGGGTGAAGTTTAAACCCTGGAGTGACACGTGATGGTGTTAGGGTCTTGGGCCCTCCAGAATGTGCAAGGGGCAGATCCAGGGCTGGCTGACTTGCAAAGCCCAGAGAAATAGCAAGCAATGACAGTGGAGGGAGAGAATCTTCTTTTTGGTTTGCTCTGGGCACGTGATTTACAAAGCCCCTTTGTGGATGCCTTCTCCTTCTAGGCTGATTCTCCCAGCAACCCCATGAGGGATGCCATAGGCCACTGTCAGAGCCCCCAGTCCCACATTCTGTGGCTGAAGATTTTGGCTGAGATGGTGGATCATGAACAAGTCAGAGCCCTTCTGACATCTAGGTCTCTTGATGAGTTAGGGTTAGAGTTCTTCAGCCACATGGGCATCAGAATCACCCAGGCCCTTGTTCACAGGGCAGGTCCCTGGGCCTCACTCCAACACAGAGTCTAACAAGCTTCATTTCTAAAGTAAACAAACAAACTCTGTCCTCCACGGTGCTTCTGGGGCCAATGATTGGAGGAAACAGCACTCCGAGGCCACACCTGTCAGGTCCTGCACCTGCTCAGCAGACTCACTGCACAGACCATGCAGGCCTGGGTGTGCCTGGTTCCTATGCCAGGCACTGCCCCAGGAGAAGGCACAGGCCAGGCTGAGGCCTCGGATGTGTCAGGCAAGCACAGTGCCTGGGATTAGGAACATGGACACACACACTCTCTCTCTCACACACACACACACACACACACACACCCTACCACTTAGTCCTCTGCTTCTCCCCAAGTGCACAACTGTGTCTAACCCAAAAGGCTGAGTGGTCACAGAGCCTCCATTTCCTCATGTTCCAGGCTGTTCTCAGCAGAAGACCCTGGGAGATCTCATTCAGACCATGAGCTGATTGGCAGGTCTGCTTGGGAAGCCTCAGAGGACTTCTGGTTCAGTCAGAAGAGAATCAGGCTGCAAAGTGATGCAGGCCGGCCTCTCTGTCTCTGCCAGGTGGTCATTTCTCACCCTGGGGCAGAGTCCCAGCTCCTGGTCCAATGTGTGTGTGCGCGTGCGTGGTTCTGTGTGTGACCTACATTTGCTTTGTTTTGTTGTAACCTGCGTCAGAACCCCAACATCTGCAAATCAGCAACATGCTGCTGGCCCCCAGGGGTGACCCCCTCCCAGGACTCGGCTGGGTGGGGACTGGGCAGGAGGGCAGAGCAGGTGGTAGAGTCCCAGCACCTCACCCTTACCTTTCTTCAGGGATACCTCCACCATGATTCTGTAGTTGGGCTTGGTGGCGGTGGCAGGAGGTGTGGGGCTGTACACAGTGAAGGGGCTGCTGCTCTCTCTGGCGACACAGGTGCTGGAGCTCAGGGAGCGGCACAGTGGGGGTGACAGGTGGCCACACAGGGAGGGGGGCGCCGTCAGACGGGTGCGCACGGTGAGCGTGAGCAGCCCCTTTTTGGCTTGCTGGAAGGAAAGAGAGTGGTAATGTGTGACAGCATCCAGGCGGCCAGGTGGACAGACCTGGGCTCGCTGAGGGGTGGTAAGAAAGGCCTTTTTAGGGGAATGCAGCTCTCTGTGTGTGATATGTAAACATGTATGTATTATTGGACATAGTACATGTGATACATATACACACATGAATACCATACATTTAACGTACTTTATATAGACTATATATAATATTTACATATATACCCGAAATAAAGCCTTGAACTAGATATAGGCTCAAAAATATCTTTTAGTGATGTCTTAAAAACTCAAAACGTATTTATAAATATCTCACTATAAAGCATGGAGTGTTTTGAAACAGCTTTGTAAATGTTAAGTGGTTTGAATATCCTTGACGGCAATCCTGACTGCCTTGCTATTTTCTGAGTCAGGTCTGTTAAGGCCATCCCCCAGCTCAGCGTCAGCTGGGTGGCCACGTGGAGAATCCCACACCTTCAACGTGTGGGGCTGCAAGGAGGGGGATGAAAAGAGCTTGGTTCTGTTGCCCTCAGGCCCCGAGTTAGGCCTCGTGTGGATAAGAAACTGTCACCTTGAACTTCTGCAAAGCACCCTGATGTGTCAGCCCGGACATTGATTCACTGTTGAGTTCCAGAATTTCATCACCTGTTGGGAGAGGGAGAAACAGCAGCTAAGGATAGCGCAGCCAACAAGGCCTAGTCTTTACCTCGAGCTCTGCTCTGGGGAGTCCACTTTCTCGGCCTGTGTTCTCCCTGGGAGGCCGGCAGGTGGTGAAGGTAACCTTTGGGCACCTCCCCCTCCCCGGCAGAGATCAAGGCCCCGTCCCCTCTGGTCCCTGCCTAACTCCCTGCCTCACCTCCATCAACCCACCCTGCATTTCCCACAAGCATCTCTGCGTTTTCGCAGCTGTCCCGAGCTGTTTTGTCAACTAACGTGTACTTCTCCTGCCACCCTTACCCAACCCTTCTTGATCCTCAGCGCCCGTTCTGGTCTTCTGTCTCTTATGCTCATCCTGTGGGTGATCAGTGACCCGTGGCCCCCTTGGTCTAGATATTAAATTTACAGATGATGTGATGCCAGCCACTTACTGTGAAGTTGACTTAGATCAAGAAAAAAGACATGTATTTGTGTATACTATCAAAAACCACTGTTGGTACCAGATGTACATAGATGACTTAACTATATGGGGCACTGCTGGTAACGCAGAAGAAAAAGAAAATATTACTATCTTAGACCTATAAAAAACTTGAAATAGGTTTTAGTGGAAATTGAATGGTTGATGTTAATCGAACTAGTAAAGGAAAGGAGAACCTGGCTCTGAACACTAAAATGTAGATGTCATATTCAGTAAAGCAGAAAAGTCAGGTGTAAAATCTGAAGATGGTTTTGACAAATATCTTGATCTGTCCTTTTTTCAATATTGGATTCATTGGCTTTGAATTTTCAACTCTATCATGATGATGACCTTCATTTCAATGATTTTAATGAGAACTTTAAGAAAAGATTATGCCCCGATAGACTAAAAAGGAAACAACAGGTGATATGGATAGAGACCTAGGAGATGAATATGGATGGAAGCAGCTGCATGGAGATGTATGTAGACCATCAAGTCACCATTGATGTTTTCCTCTCTCATTGGCTCTGGATGTCAGATGTTTTCTGTGTCTCTCATTGTTATTATTATTGATTTCTATACAGAGAGGATCAATGCTCAGTACCACCGTATTTGTCTATGCCCCTACATTGCCAATGAATGGTTATTTTGGAGGAAATCAATATACTAGACAGGGAGAAAGGAGATACATAAAGCACATGTTTATTGGGAAATCGCTTATCCCAATTATGGTGTGTGGCACTGCCTTCATCAATTTTATAGACATTTGCTACGAGGCTTCAAGAGCCATTCCTTTTGAAACAATGGTGACACTTGTTGCGTCTTTGTTTTGTTATTCTTCTTCTAAATCTTGATAGTACAATACTTGGCCAACATCCATCAGATCAGCCCAACACCCCCTGTCCTGTCGATGCTGTGTCTCATCCTGTACCGAAGAAAAAATTGTCATGGAGCCTTGAGTAATTGTTTGCCTGGCAAGAATTTTACTTTTTGGCTCTACCTTTATTGAAATGTATTTCATCTTCGCATCTTTCTGGGCATAGAAGGTCTATTATGCCTGTAGCTTCATGATGCTAGTGTTGGTCTTCCTGTGCATTGTGACTATCTGTGTGACATCCCATGCTCCTCCTTCCTGCTAAATGTAGAAGGTTACAGGTGCCAGTGGACACATTTTCTATCTATGGCATTAACTGCAATCTACATTTATGTGTATTCCTTTTACTATTAATTTTTCAAAACAAAGATGAATGGCTTATTTCAAACATCATTTTACTTTGGATATATAATGCTATTTAGCACAGCCTTTGGCATAATGTGTGGAGCAATTGGTTACATGGGAACAAATGCCTTTGTCTGAAAAATCTATACTAATGTGATAATTGATTAGAGACCCAAGAAAACCTGGAACTGTGGATCAATTTCTCTTTTAAAGGAGTGGAATTTATGGGCTTAACTCTGGGTAATTTGTGGGTGTTTCTTTCATGGATGGCTTAAAGTAATATCTGTCTCCATTGATCCTGGGTTCTTACTGACTGCTTTCTCCAATTGTTCACAGTAAACACTTGGATTTATGTAGTAGGTCTTACTATAGTACATGGCTAACCTTTTCCAAAACTAGCTCATTAAACATGAAACAGGTCAACTCTCTTCAATGAAGAGGACAAATTGTTTGTTTAAAGTATTTGTTCCAATAGAATAAATAGAGGGAAACATGGCTGCTAAATTTTTACATGAATAGAGAAATATACCTGGCTCTTAGTGTTTCTATGTTATTGCAAAATGATGTTCCAGAAAGATTACCTTTTGTCTCTCTTATTTTTACTGCTCTTGTGCAATATTTTTATATACTGAATCTGAGTTCTTCTTGACCTGGCTTAGGTTTTGTTGTGCTTTTGTTTCATTGGAACTCAACTGCATCCTCTTTTTTAAAACAGAATTTAAAAATACTAAATTCCACATGTCTATCTACTGTCATCTTAGTCGGGACAACTTCGCATTTACTTATCTTAAAATTATCCAGCTACATCCTAATTCCACCAAAGAAGATACAGTCTGAAGATAACAGTATATTCTCTACAGTAAATTTATTGTACAATTAGAAAGCAAAGTGTTAAATGGAAAAGAAATTTGCTTTTATTAAAAATTTTGAGATTTAGATAAACTACATTTTAATTGAATGTCTAACGTGATTATCATTTTCCACCCAAGTTAGTCTTACATTTTTTGGGGGGTGGTGAATGAAAGCTTTACATAAAAATTATTAGGAATCAAAGTGGTGGATAATAAATGTATTTAACATTAAATAATGTAACACATAGGTATAGATTTCCAAATGCATTTGGATGTACAGAGTGACTGAGGAGTAATTTTTTCTGATGATTATTATAGAAATGAATGAATTGGAGTGGCTTCTTACATCTTGCCTACCACTGCATGAAATATTGGGGTTTCTTCAAATGTATGTGTCACACTTCCTTTGGGAGAAAATTTGTTTTCTTCTGTTTCTTTTCTGAAATTCCCACAGGAGCTGAATTTGTAATTTAGAAACATTTAATTTTGTTCATCCTGTCTGGAATATCTAAATAACATCTAAAGCATTGCTACTTTAAAATGTTAGAATAAAATTTCCTGACCAAAAAGAAAGAAAAATCTATTTTTACATGAATAGAAAACCAAGTTCTCCCCATTCATTCAATTTATGCACTACACAAACCAAGGCACTTTCTGTAAGCTCCATAGTGCACTTGGAAATTCAGAGGCAAGCGCTGTTTTCACACTGACTTCCATAGTCAATGATGAATCTGCCATCACTAATTACAGTTCCAGTTCTATAACCCATTTTCCAGCTCTGGTTGCTTCTAAGATACTTTTCCCTTTGTCTTTGATATTCTGCCGTTTCATTATGATGTATCAGGGTGAAGGAAAATCTTTGTGCTTCCTTCAGCTGAAGCTCCATACCTTAAATCAATGTGGAGGATTCTGACTGTGTCCTTGCATACAATCCCTCTCATATCACTGAGTGCATTTTTCTACAATTCCTATTAGGTGTACATACTTGGGATCTTCTCAACTTTTCCCTATGTTTCTTTAATGCACATCTTTTTCCTCCTTTTTGCCTTGCGTGGTCTCCCAGTTCACTAATTCTTCTAGCTACATCTAATCTGCTGCCTAACCTATCCATTGAGTTTTTATTTTAATGACTATGCTTTTAAAAATATTTATTCCAGAAATCATCTTTATTCAGTTCACCCAGTTTTTCATTATGTTCTATTCTTATAGTTTATTTTCTTTCTTTTATCACTTAAATATGATTCTAAGCATAGTAATTCTCTGGTCTCTTCTACTTTATTCTACTACCTCATGTTTCTGGGGACCAGTGTTCCTTCCTTTACCTCTGCTCACCATCCTACATGGTGGCTTCTTCTAATAATCCCTTACATCTTTATTGTGAACTCATTTCTCAGAATATTCCTGTTTTCTTATGGAATTCCCATAGGCCTCGGGTCACTAGCATTTCACCCTTCATTCCCTCTTGGTACACCAAAGGAGTCACAAGTTCGGGACCAGATCTGATATTGTCTTCCCAGCTTGTATTCAGATACTCTGCACAGACTGTAAATGTGGCCTGCATGTCACATGTGACACAGGCTTTGATATTTATTTTTTCATCAGCAATGTCTTCCCCATCAAGAATCATGAACAAAGTCCTAGGCAAAGTCACAGTCTTCCCTGAGGCCTTTTGACCTTCCCCGAAGGGGAATCAAGGCTTTGTGTGGATTCTCGGTGCCTCACATGGACCTGAGGACCTGTCCTCCATTGCTATGAGAGCACACAAGTCCTAGTCCCTGGCCCTCAGGGTCTATAGCAGCCCAGCAGTCCCCTGGGCTGCCATGTCACCAACTCCTGAGTGTGCCATCCTTAGATGTAAAGTTGTCTGTTGGTTTTCTATCAGCTTAGTATCTCCCTTTCTTTCTCTCTCTCTCTCTTTCTTTCTTTCTTTCTTTCAGCTCAGATGTGCTGTTTTATCCAGCATGTCTATGTGCTAGAAATGAGCCTGGGTGTCTGGTGGGGAGTGTTCAGCTCAGCCCAGCGTGGCAGCTGCAGGAAACAGAGCCTTTGTCCTTGTGAGACTCTAAGTCCAGGGGCGAGAACAGAGGCATACAAAGGAAACACTTCAGGATGTCCACTCTCAGTCACACCGAAGGAGAATTTCCTTTCGAATTACTAGAACATCCCTTCCAACAGGGCCAGCTCTGGGATCTCCCGACCTTTCCTTACTTGGCCACATCTAGTGAAAACTGGCCTGGGTTTTGCCAAACACATCTTACACAATATTTTTGGAAGGGGAATAAAAATAAATCACCAATAGCCTTCATGTGCACAACAAACTTTTGTTGCAACCAACATCCCCCAAGAGTCCAAGAGTAGATTTGAAAATTTTACTTTAGAAAGGAGTTACGAAAGGCCATTTGGCTGATTATCTGGGACTAGAACCAGTGATTGTCTATTAGCAGAAAGTTTTGTCTCATTAAAATTTTCTATTTTTATAATTGCCATTAACTAAAGGAGATAAATACCCAGAAAAACAAAAAACACCAACAACAAAATACCATAAAATTTGGCTTGAAAAAACTAGTATTCAGGAAACAAAACACAATGTTCTCTTTTCTTGCCGCCTCAACCCCTCCCCTGCCATCTGTTTAAAGTCAGAAAAACACAAAAGATAATGACCCAAACCATGGCACACTCTCTTCCTTTTTCCATGGCTCCTCCTCTCTGCCTGCCTCCTTGGCCTCCACACTGTCTTTTCCTGCTCCCTTCTTCCGATAGAGAATTCCAGCTATTTCCCAAATGCTCAAGATGCCCAAGTCTGCTTTCAACCCTCACACCCTGAGCTGGGCCCAGACTTTCACAAGCCTGCTGGACAGCGCCACCTCGTGGACACCTGGCAGTCACCTCCCTTCTCTCCAGCCTATGCCTCTTTTCTGTCTTCCTGTCCCTCCCCTCCTCGGCCTCCTCTCCTGGGCACCGCATCATCTTTCTCCAGTTGACCAAGGTCAGAAGCCTCCAGTTGTCCTTTATCTGAGCCTCTGCTCAGCTCTGTCCCTTCCCTGCTCTGCCCATCTCTCAGGCAGTGACCATCCCCTGGCAGCCATCAGAGATGGACCTGGCACCAGGCCAGCCTCTGCACTGCTGGCCCTGCTCTGCTGTCTTGCCAGCCCGCAGCATCCTGGGTTCCCAAGCCTTTCAAAACCCCACAGCCGGTCCCTCCCTCGGGATGAGAAGTTCAGGGCTCCCCTGCCCCTACAATGAAACCCCATACCATTCTGCACAGGGCCAGGTGGGCAAGAGCTGACCGTGGCATGGACTCAGCACCAGCTGCAGTGGGAGTGCGGGTGACCGTCAGAAATGAAGCCAGGCAGCTGTGAACACTGAAAACAGTGAAGCTTCTCAGGGGACACTGGAACTGGAGCTTCATTTAATGTCCTCATGTCAGAAAAATCAAAAATAGTTTTGAATTTTTGGACTATTTAGAACTGTAGGAACCTTACTTCATTCATGAGTGATATGAAAACAGGCAGAGTCAGGCTGGGCTGTACAAGATGGGTTCCTGTAGATGGCACGGTTCACACAAGTTCACACACAATGCACACACACAACACACTCACACACACACACACGCACACACGCACACAGTGGAGAAGCATGAGATCTGCAAAACTGCCTCTCCTCAGACCAAAGCTACCCTGGCCCAAGGTTGCTGCCTCCGCTCCTACTCTCTGCCCTCCTAGGAAACCCAGAGAGCTCCTGGGGCCAAGCCTAGTGCCCAGCTGCATTCTAAAACTTAAGACACATTTTGCATCCCGGGTCTCTTCTATGGCCTAGCAACCCTGGACTCTGCTTTTGGTCCCAGAAGGATGGGAACTCTACCTTCTTGCAGCCTTCCATCAGCTGCCGCTGCTCCGCCTGCAAAGATGGTTTTGACATAAATCCCAATGGGGCCATAAATGCTGTCCTGTCCTCCAACAATGCTGAAGCCCAGGCCCTGGGGAGAGAAGAGGAGGAGATTGGGTTTAGGGGTGGTCCAGGCTTCCCAAGGGCTGCCCCAGCCCTCAGCAGGAGTCAGGAAGGAGAAGTGAGAGGGAAGAGCACTAGCAGGTGCCACCCCATCTGCAGGGTGTCAAGTTCCCATGAATCCATGCTCCCGAGCAGACCAAGGATGGATGATCATTATCCTGGCTCTGTCTTCAGCTGTGATTCCGGTCAAATCGCTTCCTGACCCTGAGCCTCAGTTTCCCCCTTGTCAAAAGATGCTGAATTACCTAACTCAGAAGGTTGCTTTCAAAAATAAAATGCCACACCCAGCAACAACAATGAAGACATCAACGAAAGTGGTAATATCGTGGTAGCAGCCCCCAGCACCCCTTCTCCTACCCCATTTCTGTGCTACATCCCACCCCCTCTCAAAGACAGGGCTGCACTGTGGGCTCCCCCACCTGCCCTTGCCCGGCCATCCTCCCTGCCACCATCCCGGTCACTTCCAGAGGCTGAGGAAGATGCCCTGAGATTGCACAGTGGCCCTGGGAGGACAGGCTGCTGCTCCAGGGAGACAGGCTCTCCCAGGCAGCTTGCTGCATTTTGTTGGCCGCAGAGGAGCTCTGCGCTCCCTGGCAGGCTGAGCTGGGGCCTCCCTCGGGAGCTGGATTTTAGGCTGCGACCTCCCTGAAGTCCCCAGGTGCATCTTATTGGTCAGTGTCTTGCCTCAGGCAGGGGTCAAAACACATATGTTGTGGGCCGGGGATTTAGCTCAGTAGTTCTGCCACCTGCCTCGCAAGCGCAAGGACCCGAGTTCGATCCCCAATACCATAAAAACCAAAACCCACATATGTTGTGATGTGAAGCCAGATCTCGGTTCTGCTTCAGCAGGCAGTGTCCAGTCACTTGGCTCCCAGACTGCCCCAGAAAGGACTGGCCATGACAGCCATGTCACAGTGTGTGGGCACGTTGTCTTGGCCAGCAGCGGTAGCATCACCCCTGGACCACAGGGCTGGCAGCCTGAGCACATCTCCAAGATGCCAGGCAAGCAGGCACCGGGCAGGGAGGCTGAGGACAGGGTGCTGCTCAAGGTGAGGTGCGAGAGTGTCAGGATGAGAGAGACACAGAGTGCTCGGGTAGCACAGGCCTGGGACAACATGAGGTAGGGAGGTTTCTGGGCTCTGCCATGGGCCTCCAGCCTCAGGCCGGGCTGCAGTAGCAGCTCCCACAGCCCTGGAAAGGCAGGAGGCACCACGGTTCAGAACAAAGCCAGGGCCAGGAAGTTGGGGTCCCTGTCGGGGGTCAGCTGCTCACTCACAAGTGACCTTGGCAAGTCCTGTGACCTCCCAGACCCTCATCTCCATGACTGTCGGGGAGAGGCTAACTGGGCTGCTGTGGGGACTGAAGGGCTTTCCCTCACCCCGCTCGAAGCACAGATGTGGGTTCTGTGGCTGGTGGGGTCGTTCAACACAGTTTGGACTCTGTCTCAAGTCCCCGCTGATCCTTCTGTCCTGACCCCATCCCCATGCCCCAAGCTCCAGCCCCAGAGCCACCTGTCACCCCACGCCCCTGGTGAGACTTCAGTGCGCGTAGTGGGGGAGCGCCCTCCTTTCTTGCCTGTGTGCCGGGCTTCTTGCGCCAAATAATATGTCCCCATTTCCTCCTAGGCCCAGAAAGATGATGTATTGAATGGACCTTATAATCAAGCCATTTCTGTCATTTTTTCATGAGTCTGGGGCCCTTTTCCATTTTGATTTCCTTTGATCATTGCCAAAAAAATTACACATGAAGTTTTTAAAAGTACTTCTATCTAAATTCAAGGTATAGGGAAAAACACTGTGATTTACTGACCAGAAAGTGGGGTTCTCCGAGAATGCCACAGTAGAGATGATCTGCACTTGGTGATTCAAGAGGCTGTCATCCCACCGCTTCTCACACCTGGGCGCTCTCTCGCTCCCTCTCTCTCTCTCATACTAGTGCTGGAACGCAAGGCCGCCTCACCACACGCCCAGCCCTTTTTTATTGTTTATTTTGAGGCTAGATCTCATTACGTCATTAAGTTGCTCAGGCTCTCCCTGTTTCTGCCTCCCAGAGTGCTGGCATTACAGGCCTGTACCACCATGCCTGACTTTGACTTGACTTTTTCCCTCCCTGCTGAGCTCCCACAGGGGGGCAGGAACAGGAGGAACCAGAAGGAAAGAGGACTCCTCTGAAAGACCATAGCACCAATTAAATCCCTGCCCTACACTACACACCAAAATGGCATTAGATACTCGTAGGTTAAAGAAATCAGCCTTTCAGGCAGGGATTTAGCTCAGTGGTGCCGCCACCTGCCTTGCAAGTGCAAGGTCCTGAGTTCGATCCCTGGTACCAAAAAAAAAGAAAGAAAAAAGAAATCAGCCTTTCATTATTTCTGCACCCAGTGGCTTGGGCAGATGTGAAGACTTCACAGCCGCTGGCTCTGTCTGTCTTGTTATCTTAGGAGCAGATCACCTCAAATACAAAGCTGCATGGTTTTCGGACACCATAAAGGAACATTTGGGATGCTCTCTACCCTGATACCTTTCTTCTCTCCTTTGACATTTGTTAGTCATGGGGAAGTCATGGGGCTTCGTCATCTGAAGAGAGGCAGAGTTAGTTCTGACTCTGCAGAAGGCTCCAACTAATGACAAAAACCAGTTACACACTACTGGCTTATCCACACACACCAGGGAGTGTGTGAGTGAGTGTATGTGTGTGTGTAAATTTGTATGAGTCCAGCTTTCTCCTACTAACATCTGAATAGCAGAGGTGAAATCAGGACCCATAAATCTTTGTCCACAATCTGGGTTTGTGTATCAAGTAAGACTTAGTCTTAGACAACATCGCTCCAAGAAGGAATCAGGCCACAAACTCAGAGAGTGCTAAGGCAGCTGGTAGGAAGTGGGGTGCTGGGCAGAAAATGATCACTTTGTCTAATCACCAGGCTGTGTGGTGATGTAGCCAGGCATGGTGGTGCATTCCTATAGTACCCACACCCTGGGTGGCTGAGGCAGGAGGATCCAAATTTGATCCCAGATTGGGAAATTTAGCAAATTTTTGAGACTTTGTCTCAATAATAATAAAAAACTTTAAAAGGACAGGGATGTAGCTCAGTGCTAGGCCCTGTGTTCAATTCCCAATAATACATACACATACACACACACACACACACACACACACACACACAATCCTGTGTACCAGCCCCGTCCCAAAGGGCGGTGGTGCTGGCAGCTCTGTCGACACCCTCCCCTTGGTGTGGTGCTGTCCCCACCCCCTATGGGCAGTGGCCTTTACCTACCTTGGCCTGGCCCTTCATCAGCACGATGTTTGAGATGACCGAAGCCTGCAGCCCCGCCAATGACTGCCCTAGCTGAGCTGTGCTCAGCGACCGAGTCGGCCTCGATGTGCCCTGCGAGGAGAAGTGGATGGCAGTGAAGTGTGGAGCTGGAGGGCAGAAGACCAGCTGCAGGGAGGAGTGCATCTTCTCTCTGGGCCCATGGCACAGGAGTGGAAGGAGCCACTGGGACGCTGTGGAACAGCGAGGCCTCCAGAGGAAGCAGGTGGAGGGCAACTTCCCAGACCACAGGCCCGGGGAAAGAGTGCCAGACACAGGGTGGTGGGCAACAGGAGGAACCCAAAGACCTAGGGCCTCAGAGCGTGAATCCAGGAAGGTAGAGAGCTCCTCACTGGGGAGAAATGAAGGACAGCAGACAGGCAGACGCGTGCTCTGTACCATGGGCAGCTGCCCAGCAAGGGGCAATACCACCGGCTGATTAGAGCTGACACTATGGAGCCCCCTCGGGGAAGTGATTTTACCCACCTGTGGCTCAGTTTCCCCCACTATAAGAACATTTTTGCAAGCATGTAGCAGTACCTGGTACACAGGAAGTGCCTTCGTTTCCTGTCACTCTTTGCCCTCTCATATCCCAAGGCATGGACAGACTCCTGCACACCCACCGAAGCAGACACACCCTTGTGGGGGTTGAGGTAGCTGCACGGGCCCTGCTCATGGAAATCTGAGATCCTGCGAGGCAGGACTGGGAGCCCGGGCGGCCGACACCCAGACCACAACAAGCCAGGGCAGAAGAGTCAGGAGCGCCCATGTTCACATCCTGCTACCCCACCACCTACGACTCAGGTGACCCTGAAGGCACCAAACTCCCATAAGCCTTAGGGTCCTCATTTCTAGAGGCAGGGTACAGAAAGCACATGCCTCTTTGGGTGGCACTGTCTTGGCCGTACAGCTCTTGGGGTGACAGTTTAATACAAGGATCCGGAGAGAGCACACAGCCTGAGACCAGCACATAGGGAAGCTGGAATCCACATTGGCATCAGTGCCTTCACTGCTGGCCACCAGCTCCTCTTGGGATCTCTCTTCCTCTTGCTGGCTAGTGACTGCCCACTGCTGGCTGGGTGGTCCCCAAAGAGACCCACAGAGACTCCAGCCCCTGGAGCCCCCAGGGCCACTGTAGACCACACTTCTTTTTTCCCTGAAGAAGTAACCTTTTCTGACCACACTGCTCCACCTCCCCTGGAGGGCTGTGGGTAGACCAGATGGAGCCAGGGGCATGTAAGCCAGTTCATTTTATGTGTCAGCTTGGCTATACCAAGGGGTGCCAGATGTTTATCAGACATCTGTGTGTGTCCATGAGGGAGCTTTGGGACAAGATTAACATTAAATCAGCAGACAAAATAGATGTCCCTCCCTCATCCAATCAGTTGATGTGGATGTGGGCCTCATCCAATCAGTTGAGGGCTGAACAGAACAACAGGGCTGAGTGTCCAGTGCATGAGCAAGCTCTCCCTGCCAGAAGTCCACACAGTGGGACCCAGCTGTTGTCTGGCTCTTCTGGGTCTGAAGCCCACAGGCCTTTGGACAGAAACTCCCCATCAGCTCTCCTGGGTCCCCAGCTTGCTAATCAACCCTGACTTCAGACTTTCCCACCTCTGTGATGAGCTAATTTCTTAAAATAATTCCTCCTCTCTTCATCAAAAAGAGTGGTTCCAGGACCCCCATGTATACCAAAATCCTGGGATGCACAAGTCCCTTGTTCAGGTTTTGCCTATCACCTCCCCACATCCTCCCACCTATTTTACATCATCTCTACACAACCTCTAGACCTCCAATACCCAATACATCAATGTTGTGCCCTAGGGATCGATTAGGGAAAACAACAAGGAAGCCGTCTGTCTGTGTTGGGTGCAGATGCATCCATCGTGGCCTTAACCACATTGGTGACCTGGAGCTGGCTGAATCCACAGACACAGGACACACAGAAGGGGAGGGTGCTGATCGCTCTGTGGAGTCTGTCCCTTCTGTTACCTGGAGACTCCTCACTAACACAGCATCCAAGTGCCCCCACCTTTGAGGAGCTGAGTGAGTGGAGGCTCCGGCCATGGGGCGGAGCTGCCTATCACATGAAGGAGCCTTTCTTAGGTGGCTGCGCCTCCTTGGTCCCACCCAGCCTTCCACGTAGTGGCCAACTGCCCCCATGGCCATCTGTACACTAAAGAGCCAGGGCACAGGCACAGGAAGAGAGGGACAGGTGCCACCTGAGAGACACTTGGGAAAACAAGCAGAGGGATCAGGAGGGCTTCCAGCAGGGGAAAGCATGGAAGGTGGAGCAGGGTCTCTAGTGACACAGGTGAGAGAAGGAGGGGACACAACGGGACAGAGGGTGCAGTGTGTCCACAGCAGTAGCCAAGGCCCTGAAAAGGAATGCACTGCCTGGAGTGCACTGTCCTTTCCCTAAAGGACAGGTGAGGAGTCACAGGCAGGCCCATGATGTGCACAGCAGACACTGTGTTTTGCATCTGCTTGGCTCCCAGTCTGAAAGCTGATGTCTCGTGGTGGAAGGGACAGGGGCTGGGGGCCACACAGAATTTGGTTCAAATTCTGGCCCCCTTGGATTTTATGATGTATGAGCATAAAGGGCTTTGCACCTTGCCACGCCTGTGTGCTGCTCCCTGGGAAACGGGGTCAGCCATAGGCTCCTGCATAAGCTTATGTTAAGAGCTTGTGGCCATGCTGGTAAAATAAGTCACCAAGTCAAGGACAGGGTTAACCACAGGGGCTTTGGATCTGACTTCTTCATGTCCTACCCTGGTGACTTAATAGCAGTGTGAATGGGCATAAAGTCCCCAACTCATCCAACCCCACTTCCCATTCAACTCCCAGGGCCATTCCACATGCAAGAAAGGGACCACAGTAAACCTTAGCCCTGCACCAGCTGGGGGAAGCCTGGCTTGGTTAGTGCTAACAGCCCAGAGACGACAGCAGTTGTGAGTGTCTGGCACAAGGGGGTGCTCCGTGGATGACCAGAGAGAGTGGTTCTTGCCTAAGGTGATTCTTTGCCCCTCAGCCCGCCCTCTCCTCTGCAGGGTGGAAGTAGAGCTGCAGGGGTTGCCCCCTCACCCCACCCCCTGCTCCCCACTCCCTCCACTCCCTCCCTCCACTCTTACCGCAGCCTTTCCTGCAGGCCAGTCCAACTGCTGGGAAAGGGACTTCTTGTCACTGCAGAGGGAGCTCAGCTGCCTGTCCGTGGAAGCTGCCGATTTCCTGCTCATGGGAAAGTCTCTCTCTCCTGTGCAATAGGGGTTAACACCTAAACCAAGAGAAATGATAGGGCAACTCATTTACGCTCTCAAAACACAAAGCTCAACAAGGAACAAAATCAGTGCCACTCATTCACCAGGCAGCTGTGTGGGCATGCACATTAGCACAGCACTGAGTGCCTGGAGCATCATTCACCCCCTCATGTGTGCACTCTGTCCTGTTGGCACAGACAGCTCTCCCTTCACCTCAACCCAATCCAGGGCTGGTGGGCATCTCCTATGAAGCAGTATACCAGGCTCAGGAAACCACCAAACCCAGGTGGGGCCACCAACTATGGAGAGGGGTGCCCAGAGGGCACCCAGGACATGGGCCACATAACACTGAGCCAGTGGCCACTCAGAGACGGACTGGGCACAGGCTCCTCCAACCTCCATGACAGACACGCTCACACCCAGCCAGGTCCACACTCCCCACACACAGGCGACACTTCATTCCTTGGAGAGCTTAGAAACTGCAAAGTCTCCAGCTTTCTCTCTGTGGGATCCCTGACTTCCTTTCCTCAAATCAGAAATTCTGCTCTGTCACCACAGGCAGCTGGAAAAACCTTGAAAGACTGTCTGATTTAACCTACGGTCTAGACCAGTGCTTCCTGGCTGAAATGCACTGTTAGCCGAAGAGGCAACTGTTTTCCAGTAGCTGCCAGGCACAGAGGTGCACCCTACTTGGAATCCCAGCTACTTGGGAGGCTGAGGCAGGAGGATCTCAAGTTTGAGGCCACCCTGGACAACTCAAATTTAACAAGACCCCATCTCAAAATTAAAAAAAAAAAAAACATTTAAAAGAGCTAAGGATGTAGCTCAGTGTCAGAGTGCCTCTGGTTTGATTCCCTAGTACTGAAAAGAGAGAAGGAAGGAGGGAAGGAAGGAAGGAAGGAAGGAAGGAAGGAGGGAAGAACATTTTAAGTAACACATTAAACAAGTAAAAAGAAACATGAGAAAAATTTCAATGATATGCTTTATTCATCAATGTATCTAATCTTCTTTTCATCATGTAAATAATACATAAGCATATGAATGAGATTTTCACCTCATTTCTCCCACACTTGGTCCTCAGACTTGTGTCACCTGCACTTCCTGCACTCCCCATAGCTGAGGGCAGCCTGTGGCCCAGAAAGGGGTTTTCCCAGTGTCCCTGGCTACAGTAGACAGGTTTTGGTGGGCAGTTCCTGCCCAGGGAAAAGTGAGATCAGTGTGGTTCCGAGGACATGCAGGATGGACTGAGGCTTCAGGTCTGCTGCCATTCTTAGGACAGAAAGACCTTCACTTGTTTATAAGCCGAAGAGAGGAAGCCCCTGGCCAGAGTGGATGAGAAGAAAGAGGACAGAGCGGGTCCTCAGGACGCTTCCCCAGGATGGCTGCATGAGGCACAGGTAGGCAATGCCTGTGGCTGACAGGGACCAGCTGCTCTGCTCCCAGTGGACAAGGACAGGCAGGAGGGCAGGGGGTTTGGAATCCCCGCAGGTGAGGACACAGGATCACAGGCCAGGGTTAGGAGCAAAAGCCAGAGCTCACTGCAACCTACTCCTGGCTTTGCGCACCATTTACGTGGTGTTTAATAGAAGGCAGACAGACCTCAGTGCCCCACATGGACTGTGCAGTGCTGGTGGGTCACTGACCTGTGGGATTGTCCTGCTGTCCAGGCCACATAGCGGCCTCTCCTTGGCCCTTCCAGAAACTACAGGAGGACACTCCTCCCTCCTGCTGGCTCCAGCACCTTGAACAGAGCCCCAGCAGAACCCAGGCCTCCCGCACCCATCTCCCTGTTTCAGCCCACAGCAGTGCAAGGTGGCCTAAGTCAACTCCGGCGAGGGTCACAGAGCAGACAGGCTGAGCACGGCACTGCCAGTAAAACCTGCTCGGACTTCACCCAGCTCTGCCTGCCTCTACCCAGCAAGCCTTGCGCTCTGAGAACCCTATCCCTGCCATGATTTGGATCTGTACAGAGGTGAATTAGCACAGAGCAGGTTCCCCAAAGCTCTGCCCTCCTGATGATCCCCTCTGTGTGCAGTGCAGCCATAGAGAAATATCCTGAAGCCACCCTTGCAGAGGGACAGCGAGGGATACCAGGCAAGGCTTCCTCACTGAGTCCATTGCAAAGGGGTTATAAATCCAGAGCAGAAGCCAGAGTGTTTTGAAAGGGAAGCTATATATTGAGATGATTTGTGGTAATAATGTGAAATTTAAGGTCAAATTGAATTTTCAAATGGAAAAAGGAGCTATATCTGCCTAATACTATTTTAAGTTCCTTGTCTATCATTAGAGGAATAATTTAGAAAATTTATTCCCAAGTATTAATTACACTTAAACTTAAGGAAAACCAGAAGTAGAAATAAAAACTGAACAAATTTTACAAATCACTGCAAAATTTACACACATATAACAAGAAGTAGAAAACAAATGAATATCAAGTTATCACAGGAAATACAGCTGCATGTCATTTGTGAGAGATAAGCAAAATAAAGTATGATAAAAGAGTGGGTAAGCAAAGATGATCTCAAACAATATTAGTCATCAGCTAGTATCAGAAAAGAACTAGATCTCACATCATATCAAACACTGAAAATAACTTATAGATATATCAAATTTAGAATAAAAAGTCATTCAAAAGTTAGAAGAAAATATAGCCACATATTTAATACCTCTTTGTGGAAGAAATGTTCCCATTAAAAAAGAAAAGATCAATAAATTTGATTTAATAAAGTTTAAAACATTTTCATGTAAACAAAAATAATATTGTCAGATATCAATTTAACCTAATTAATAATAAGATAATAATCACCCCAATAGGAAAATAGGCAAACTCACCCAAATCAAAATAAACAAATGAAGAAGGTTTGACCTCCACCTGCATCTGGAAGCACACTGTGTCTGTGCCTCTCCCTGTTTCATGAGCACCAGGTCAGTCGTTCTGTGAGCCAGGCAGGAAGGGTGCCAGGCTGGGCTGGGCTGGTGGACACTAAATATCAGGCCTGAATGCAGGGCCGGGTGCCCGGATGGGCAGAGGCAGGAAGAGAGGCAGCCATGGGATGCTGGGAGCTGTTACCTGCCCATGGCCTTAGGGCAAGTGGAGGCAATATGTCAGCAGAGCCCACTGAGGCAGGGTCCACAGGACTCGGGCCACCCGGGTGTGACTGATGTCACTGGTGGGGCTGTGGCTGCGGCCCACACCAATGCAGAGCAAGGAGGAGGGAGCAGTCTGCAACCGTCTTGTCCACTGCGGGCCTCCTGTGGGCACCTCCTGTGGGGGCCTCCGTGACCACAGGCAACAGAAATCAGGGAACCTAGGGCCCAGGTGACACATCTGGGTAGGAGCAGGGCTGGCTGCATGGGCAGGCAACCTGTGCACCCCTAAAGCCCGAGGCATAAAGAGGCCAAACTTTCAGGTTTCCTGCTAGTTGGAAAGTCTTCATTTTGAACACGGCTCCCACATTTTCATTTTACAAAGAATCCTACAAATTGTGTTAGTGGTCCAGATGCCATCAAGGCAGAAAGGAGCAGCAAATGGGTGGGAAATGGGGACTAGAAAAAAGCTGAAGAGCAAATATTTTTTAAAAAGTATAATCCACTGTGGCTGGAACCTATGATGGCAGAAACAGGACTTCATACACACCACTGAAGGAATATTAGCTATTAAAATTAGGCAATGCAGATCCAAAGCCTAAACTACATTATGTTTTGACTCAAAACTCCATTTCTAGGAAATTATGCTAATGAGGGAAAATTAAAATTTATGATAAAAAAACAAACTCAAAAATAGTAGATTATTAATTGCAGAACTGCACATCCTACTACAGAATGCTCTGAGACTAAGAGTTTGTAAGAGACTTTCCTGAAGTCACACAGATAACTAGTTCCAGGAGCAGGGTGCAAACCCAAGTGCCATGACCTTGAGTGTGTGACCTCTCAGCCCACAGCAGCCCCACAGGACCCTGGCTCCAGGACCCTGCATAGATGCCAAGGCCAGGCTGGGGAAGCTCTTGTTCCTTATGCAGTATTCACACATAACCTACACACGCCCTCCCATGTACTTCATATCATCTCTCCATTGCTTTTAATACCCAATGCAATTTAAAATGCTGCACCAATGATCATTACTCTGTATTATTTAGGGGATAATGACAAAAAAACAATTTGCACATTTTCAATGCAGATGCAAATTTTTTTCAAATATTTTCTATGCACAGATATTTCATGTAAGGATTCATCACTAACTCAAACAAAATTCATGTACAGACTCAGCTCTTTGGCCTCAAAGAAAAACCGAGAATACCATAAACATCTATTAGGAGGGAGTTGGTTAACAAGATTGTGTGTATTCATGCAATGAAATACCATGTATCAAAGAAAGAAAGAAAGAAAGAAAGAAAGAAAGAAAGAAAGAAACAAAGAAACAAAGAAACAAAGAAACAAAGAAAGAAACAAAGAAAGAAAGGAGGGAGGAAGGAAGGAAGGAAGGGGAAGGGAAAGGAAGAGAAGGAAGGAAGGGGAAGGGAAGGAAGGAAGGAAGGAAGGAAGGAAGGAGGGAAACAGAGTTTCTGGCTGGACTTGTGGTGCATGGGCATAATCCTAGCACTTAGGAGGCTGAGGTAGGAAGATCGTGGAGAGTTCAAGGCCAGCCTGGGCTACATAGTGAGTTCAAAGGCAGCCTGAACTGTCTCAAAAAACCAAAATAAATAAACCAAAATAAATAAATCAATTGTAAAAATTCAGAGTTTCCAAGGGCGTGAAGTAAAGATACAGACGTGTGTGAGTTTTCTATATAGGAATCTGGGGGAATAACTGGAAATGCTAATATTCATTACCTTTAATATTATAATTTGAAGGGATTTTAGTTTCCTCAAACTTTTCAGCATTCTTCACATTTTCCTGACTTTGTACAAATGAGGTAGGAGGTAGAGCAAGGACAAGTAAATAGCAGGAAGCCATGGGGTAAGGAATAGAGAAAACAGGCACAGCAATGACAACTATGTCAAAATCTTCAAAAACCAATAGATCACCCTGTCCCCTGAGACCACCAGACATGTGCCAACCAATGAGTACGTCACCCTGGTCTGCATCCAGCCTCATTTGCTTGTGGTTTTTATCTCCCCAGTGGGCTTGGACACCATGAGACTTCCTCTAAAAACTGTATGGTCCAAACTCCCCCTCCTGGAAGGTGGACAAAGTCAGGTATCCCTTGGGGCCATGACTCCTGTCCATCTCCAGCCATAGATCCTCCTCCCATAACCCTGGGACCTTAAGAGGTCCAATGCCTGCCCCAATGGGCTGTGAAAGCTTCTCACTCACCCCAGCCTGTGGGGTCCACCTTCACTTTCTTTCACTTTTAATAAATACTACTCTTGTTACTCCTTTTGAGTATACTGCTCAATTCTTTAGGATGCCAAGAACCTGGAAAGAACCCCTCTGTACCCTCCACAACACAAGTCTTCTATTCGTAGCAACCAGGAGGACTCCTGAAGTCTTCCAGCCTCAGCCTCCACCATTTAACAGCTGAGGTGACACAGGCCTTGGGTAAAAGAGAGCAGCGTACTCAGGGCCAAGGCCCATGTCTGAACTCAGAAGCAGAAAATAGCCCTGGTCAGCTCCCTCAGGCCAGGTCTACCCACTCTGGCAAAGAGGCCATCTAGAGAGGTCAGCTAGAGAAAGCTGTCTAGGCAGGCTGTCTACAGCAGGCATCTAGAGGAGGCCATTTAGTGAAGCCTCAGAGAGGAGGCCAGTGCACAGCCCCCCGCTGGCCAGCATGTGCACACACAGGGAAGAACTTCTAGTGGGGCAAGTAGGTCACCTCCTTGGTTTGTCCCACTGGACTGGAGAGATCGGCCTCCCCATGTCATTCACACTGCTGCTACTCAGAGCAGCGGCCACTCCCAGACACTTACTGGTGGAGTTACTGCGGCCCCTCTGGTGGCAGCCTTTAGGAAACAGGAAGTTACTACTCAGTGCTTCTGGTTTTCCAGGCTTTTCTCTAGAGGACGCTGTGGATGATTCCTGAAAAACAATTTCCATCTTTTATTCAGCAAATCAGCTAGGATAGAAAAGTGCCCTTAGATGGGATTCAAACATGGACCTCAGAAGGTCTCATTGGACTGTTTGGCTCCCCATAAAATGACAGCCACTGTGAAGCCAGTCATCCCACCAGTAAACATGTATCCATTCATTTAATGAACATACCAAATAAATAGTTGTCACATAAGTATCCAACTAATGCTGAAGCCGGACTTAGAGAAAAACAAGTTCTTCCCAGCCTTGGACAGCCCCACATCCCCACCCCAGATCACTCTTCTCTCCCCTGTAACTGTAACTCCTTGTTCTGTTACAGATAAAATTAACAACCATGTTCTGCAAACAAAGTTTATGAAACTCTGTTCTCATATCATTTATAAGACACTGTCTCCTTTCAAGGCAAAGATACAAATCTGTCTACCCTTGTCCTGTTCCAGTAAACTCACTTGCCACGTCACTAGAAAAATCAGCCCCTTCCACAAAATGTATAAAACCTGGAACTTCTCTTTGTTCATCACTCAGCCATTTTGGACACAGAGTCTGTTGAGCCATTGTATATAACTTTAAATCCTCCTGACTCCCATTTGGTCTCTCCTGTCTCTTGGAGTTCTGCAACATTTCAATCAATACTGAATGAATATGTCAGCTATTAGGTTCAGATTCATCATTAGACAAGGGGGTACAGCTGTGAGCAGGTGGACTAAGACATTGACCTTGGACAAACGGCATTTATCATTACACAGAATGATATTTTCAGTGAAGAAAAGAACTAGAGGGACATGAACAGGAGTCTGGAAGCTCTGAGTTCCAGATGATGATAAGTGCATCATATCATCCTGGAGCTTGTCAAAAACATTTGTTGAATGAATGCCACGTAGATTTTTAAATGTGAACCAACTATGTGGTTCCATATTCTTGTAAGTATTATGATTTTATTATATTGCTGATTTCTATCTGCAAAGACTTAATTTAGGATACAGAAATCACATGCCTCTTCCTTGTGTAAGATGAAAATCTGAGACAATCTTTACTCCCTCTCCCCACCCTGAGATTTTAGGAATAGGAGGGTCATAGGGATGGAGGTTGATAATGAAGATGAAGATATTTCTCTTCTCTTCCTGGGACTGTTATTCTATTTTATAACTTTGTTAGCTACAAAGATCTTGACTTAATTTTTGTGTTATATTGGTTTCATTACTTCCTGCCATAATCCTCAGATGTGTGTGTGTGTGTGTGTGTGTGTGTGTGTGTGTTCTTTCAGGAATGCTAGTGAATGTTTAAAATGTTTTTTTAAAATGTATTCCTGTAAAAGATACATTGTCACTAGTTCTCTTCAAAATACTCCCCCTCACTTTGAACACACTTATCTCATTGTTCTTGCCACTTTCTGAACAAGCTCTGGATATCCCCTTTTGTGAGTTTCTTTAAAGGTGCTCTCCTGGCTGCCTCACTTTTCTGAACTGATTCAAAATATTTACCTTTCATGGTTATTTTGACTTTGGGGAAGAGTCAGAATTTACACAGTGCCCAATTCAGTGAATAAAGTGGATGAGGACACACCATAATGTGTTTACGAGTCTGCCTTTCTGTTGGATGGCACTGAGCAGCAGCATTCACCTTATCTTTTATCACATCTTGTAAAGACATGAAAGAGGACTTCCGGAACTGCTTCCAAAGGTGGCAATATTGTAATGATGGGATAAGTGCGTTCAAAGCCTGGAAGAATCGTGGCAGTGTGCATTTTACAGGAATAAATGTATTAACGGAAACGTTCACCAAGTATTTTGATCACACTTTATATTGAATAGAAAGCCTCTCTAACCATAGAATGTCTTTCTGTGGCTGTCACATTGAATAATTAGCTAAGTTTAGAATCTTTGGATGTTAACTCCCGGACCTCAACCAGTAGAGGCTCAAAGGTCTCCTGGGACTTAGTGGTCCAAAGTGGAGTGCACTGGGGCACTCAATGTCCTCCTCTAACTGACTTGAGCATCCTCCCATGGGGTAGGCAGGCAGGGCTGTACTCCCATGTGCCAGGTGGGTGCAGGATCCAAAAATCTGTTCTAGTTCCCAGAGTGGAGGGAGAATCTACTTTCCTCCCACTGTGCCGCATAACCCACCGACACCTCCTACCCTGCCATTGCGAGCAGATTGGCATCAGGGGCTCTGCCAACTCTGACCCACTCATTTCCCAAGCTTTTCCCTCCCTGTGGCCAATGGCAAGTGGCCAGTCCACCCTCACCTGCACTGTGTCATGCAGAGGTCCTCTGAGATCCAGAATGTGGCCAGCCACATTGATCTATAAGCATTTCTGCCTATTTGCATTTTCCTTTTGAATTTCTAACAGGTAGAGGAGTTAATCAAGTGTACTCAGTAGCAATCTGAAGCCAGAAGTCCATTCATACCCTTTCAAATAAGAAACTGTCCAGTTCTGACACAGGAGATCCCATAGGAAGCCACACGCCAATCCTCTGATTTCTAATGAAGTCAACGTTTAAAATCAGAGAATCCATCCTGGCTGGCTCCTAGATGCTCGTCTTTCTTTTTAGCAGCAGATGGTGCTATATTAATTTGAACTAAATTGTATACCTTCAACCAGGCTAGCCTAAGAAATCCTTTAAAAGGAGAGAGAGCTGGGCTTATATAGAAAGTGGTTTAGTTTAGTTGAGTTCTTGAGGTTCTGTATTTCCAGCATTTAATATAATGATACCTCTGCTTCTTTACACAATGCAATATTCAAATGGTATTACTTAATTACAGTAGTCTAGTGAGGTCATGTCCTGACTCTAATTCCAAAACTTTCCTCTGGTGTTATTTCCTCTCCCTTGCGTGTCCTGTGAGACTCTGAAAGCGAGTGACACAGAGTGACTTCAGAAACCGCCGAGGTGCCACTGAACACAGCAGGGCCCAGCAGGGTACCGGATTGGTCTGCTTGTCTGGGTGTAAAACTTACAAAGCACCCTTGAAATGGATATTTCCTCAAAATATTTAGCAACATGAAAATAAGTAACTCAGCATATACAAGTCTGCTAAGCATCTTTAAAAATAATATTTATAAAGAATTTTTGCAGCATAACAATATCTGTGTTATCATGGTAGGTTAAAAAGATGCTATGTTATGTTATGTTACGTTATGATGTTATGTTATGTTATGAACAGAGTCTGACTACAAGCAAGTATAGTACACATTAAAAATGGCTGGAGGTAAATGCACCCAAACAGTAACACTCATTCATTCAACAAATGTTTATTAAGCACTCTCTATGTGCCAGCACTGAGGAGATGGCAATAAGGAGACTCAAGATCCTGCCCTCATGAATCAGCAGGAGTGTGTTAGGGTGATGTGATTACAGCTACAATTTTTTATACCTTTCTGTATTTCCCATGTTTTTTCTTTTTTTTTTTTTAATCCCCCATTAACTTTATTGGTACATTTTAGGTATAAAATACAGTTACATTCATCATTGGGATCTTGTACCATTACATGAGT